GCCACTGACAAAATAGGAAAACAAAGTCTGCAAAGTATTACAAAGCGATGAGTTGCGAATAAGTCTCGAAGATTGTTAGATTACATAGGACCTAGTCCAATATGTCGAGGAAGGCGTGCGATGTTACATGCATACACCATAGAAGCATGTTTGGTGGATTAAATGCTAAGGTGAAACAGCCGAAGCTTTTGGTGGAAATATGCAAAGCAACGCGACATCTACTACTATCAAAACAAATACTACAATCAAGTCAAATACGGTAAAACCGAAAGAAGCGGTGCAAAGGCAAAAGTGAGACGGACATGTGCGAAATCCGCCGCTGCGCAGTTGTCTGATGGACCAAAACAGGTTTAACCGCGCTAAGACTATTGAAAGTCACGTGATCTCGATGGTCAATCAACTCCCACCGTCAAGCTATTCTGTTCAAAACCCTATCTTTAAGTTTTACTTCGGCCTACTAAGGGGCGCTGAGTAGCTTGTAGAACTCTGAAAGTCCACCTTGTTCACGTAATTCTGCGATGATTTAACGCCCGCAGGATGGTTTTAGGTATGTGGCATGCGTTCAGTTTTAGAAATTAAAAAAGATTATTTGACATACAAAAGGCTTGAGGGCTGTTGGAGGCGAGCTGGAAAATAATGAATTTGATGCCCCGCTCTGTTATTCGAAAATCAGATACGAAGTCCCCCCCCAGGCCATAAGGATTATCATCTCCCAATTTTGCGCAATATTTGAGATGGTAGAAAATTGATGGAGCATGATAAACGGAGTTCGAGTGTTCAAGAGAAATTAACAAGAAGCTACATATTTCAAATATCCGGCCAATTTCCTTCGAAAAAGTTTGCGGACGACCACAAACCTGTACGTCATATTACCCTTCGTCAAGCAATTGATAAACTTGATAAAAATCCCAAAACTCGGTCGACACGAACTCCATAACCCATCACTCTTCCCAGAAAATAACATCAGTGGCCATGTGGGTATCCTTTCCAATTAAGAGCAAGAAGGGCGATAGTATCGTAAGTTTGGGACAATAAGCAAGGAGGTTGATGATCCTATGAAAACGACCCATGAAATATTAACGATAAACGTATTCAAACTGCAACCTGGCGAGCATAAGTCTGCTTTCGATAAATTCTCTTCACGCCTGTACGTTTATATGGCTATTGAACTAATGAATTAAAAGACACGGGCAAGTAGATAATTAAGCTGTAGCTCGGGTTTGGGAAGGGGAGGGAGAGAGTGAAACACACCACCTCCAGTCAGCACCAGAGAGAAGGTGGGTCCCGGCAAAGGTAATTACATGCGGGTGGCTGGCTTGGTGACTTTGAGCCATGGCAACTGTGGGACCTGTATAAAGTTCTTCTGTCCGCATAGGACCGGTTCGCGTAACCTGATTGCAGCCGCCTCTGCCGAATCTAACACGCGCTGACCTTGTAAATCACTCTGAAGGCCTCTCTGGCGTCTACACTGAGGTCTGTGTCTACCATGTGCGCGAGGATCAAACTGTTGATGTTCTTTATTTGACCCTTTTCTAACCATGCTGGAAGATGTTCTTTTATTCTTTTGGATAAACGCCGGCTCGTGCGACCAATATATTCTGCCCCAAAGGAGCAGGTAAAGGAATAAATACACATCGTGGTGGTCTGAGCTGGTAGTTTGTCCTTTCCCTCTCCGTATAGGATGAGACTGGTGGAGAACTGTACATGGGTGTCAGCTGTTGGAAAGGTCTGTGATACAGCTTGAGTTAGGCGTCTTCTTAAGAGTTCACTTGGCGAGCCTGCTTGAAATGGGACCCTGATGAAGAGCCTTTTCTTTCCTGCCGTCAGTATCGGAGGCTTTTGTGGTCTTTCGGCCATGTTCGTAGCAATGAATTGATCAGGATACCCGTTCTGGCGAAAAGGGAATTCGATGATCTTAAGTTCTTTCTCAACACTATCAGCTAAGCAGATTCCTCTCACTCTTTCTGTCAAACAGCGGACTAAATTACGTTTAATGTTTAGCCGTACGAAACTCCCAAAATGGGTGTAGCGTCTGGACCACCTTTCTTTACGACAGACACTACGTCGAATGCTGCCGTCAGGCGTTCTACTCAGGGGCACATCCGGAAAGGGAAGTGAACTGGACTGTTCTTTTTACAGTAAATTTTATTGATGGGTGCGCCTGATTTCTGTCATCCAGTAGAATTGAGATGTAACTTTATTTCGTTGCAATTGCGAATATACAGTGAGTGACCGATCTTATGAAGTGTTGGCTGAAATTCTGAAATGCATTTTCGATTAGGAAGGATTACTGAGTCGCATTTGTAATACTGATTATCTTACGAAATAGCCTTATAACATGTCCGACTCGGCAGGATGTTAGCTTTTGAATACAGTGCTTTTTAGTCTACTGTAGAAACCGTTCGCGGTAAAAAATGACTACTTAAGTAGCATGCATTTTTCCCATTGAGTTTCGATGGCTTTGAAAATTCAAATATATCTTATAAAAACCATAAACAAAAATAGGCTTTCTTTCAGTCGATTAATAGAGTATCATGCCTTCTTTATATTTAATATTCAATAAAGGAGTATAATAGGGTTTTAAAAAAGTTTCTAATTATGATTTTTTTAAGACCTCGCAATGTCCATTCACATAGCATCGTACCTGTCCGAGGTATATGCGTACCCACGCGTCGAAAGTGCTCTACGTCGTGTTTGATTATGCCACCATCCGCCTGTAGTGTTCGCAGCAGTCAGTTGTGCTTCAATCTCATCTGTACGATCCTTCTCCTTTTCTGTCTTTCTGAACTTTTCCTGATCTGACAGAATTGGCTATATTTCTGTCATATGGTCTACCGTGTCCATTGAACAACGTCCTTTTCCTTATCTGGCCTAGTTATCAGACTACCTTTGTTCTGCCGGAGTTGCTTTAACTTCTCAATGTGTGACTTCGTCAGCAAGACCCGATATTTTTGATGACTGGTCAGGTATTGATAAGAGCAGTTGACCGATATAGACTTAAGATTTTGTACGCTCTCTGTTGAAACTGGATGAAGGTCATGCGTTTGATTCGAGGTTTTCGAATTGTGTTTCTAAATCTAGCTGGTTGGGATTCTGGCGAGGACAGCAAAACTTAGGACCCAACGCAAAGGCTTCAATCGATGTTTTATCGGGAGCTATGGACAAATACTTGTGTACGTGCCGACTTGGATCTTCAGGAATCTTAGACTGTGGTTTGCCTTCATGAATACTCCGAAGAAGGGAAACCCTCTTGATTTCTCCGCGATTGTCCGCAATGGATTGCACATAATTCTCGAATTCCTGTCGCTCGTCTTCGCCTAGTTGATCGAATATGGCTGCCCGTTGACACAAGTGATGCCCCAGCTCTTCCACCTTTACACGCGTACCCTCTAGTTCATTTTCGACGCAACTTCTCAAGGTATCACAGGTGACAACCGTATGACTCCGTCGCATTGCTCTCCAGTGGGAGTTCGAGTACTCGTTTCACTCGAGCCATTCCCTAAGTAACCTGGCTCGTGCTTTCGCCTCCACAAGCTTGGTGCTTAACCGTAGGTACCCACCGCGTGCCTTCAACACCACTGGATCCGTTGGCTGTTTTGGATTTGCGAAAATTCCCATTGTAAAATTCAAAAGGCTATTTGGCGAGCCTACAGTGCGTGACCTTTCTCATGAAATGTTGGCTGAAATTCTGAAATACGTTTTCGATTAGGAAGGATTACTTGGTCGCGGTTGTGACACTGATTATCATAAGGCATACTCTTATAACATTTTAGACTCGGCAGGATGTCGGATTTTAAATGCACTTCTTTTCAATCTCCTGTAGAAAGCGTGCTTGGTAAAAAATGACTACTTAAGTAGCATGCAATTTCCTATTGATTTTCGATGGGTTTGGAAATGCAAATATATTTTATAGAAACCACAAACAAAAATATGCTTTCTTTTTGTCAATCAATAGAGAATCACGTCTTCTTCATATTTTATACTGAAGGAAGGAGTATAATTAGGTTTTATAAAAGTTTCCAATTATGAGACTTTTTAAGACCGTGATATGTCCATTCACAGAGCATCGTACCTGGCCGTTTACCACTGCTCCTCATGAAATGTACAACATGGTCCGCATCCATTGCACAATTTTATGGACCCTGTATAATATCTCTTTAATGACATAGAAAAATATGGGATTTTCTTTACGCGGAACGCATGCACCTTGTAGAGTGTAATCACTAAGCGTTCATGCAACGAACGATCAGGCTCCAAATTTTTCGACAATTAGAAAACTTTTTAAAACCTAATTATACTCCTTCCTTAAGTATAAAATATGAATAAGACGTGATTCTCTATTGATTGACTAAAAGAAAGCATATTTTTGTTTGTGGTTTCTATAAAATATATTTGCATTTCCAAAACCATCGAAAATCAATAGGAAAATTGCATGCTAATTAAGTAGTCATTGTTTACCAAGCACGCTTTCTACAGGAGATTGAAAAGAAGTGCATTTAAAATCCGACATCCTGCCGAGTCTAAAATGTTATAAGAGTATGCCTCATGGTAATCAGTGTCACAACCGCGACCAAGTAATCCTTCCTAATCGAAAACGCATTTCAAAATTTCAGCCAACATTTCATGAGATAGGTCACGCACGGTACGTCTGCCTTCGATAAATTCTCTTCAGGCCTGTACGTTTATATGGCTTTTGAAGTAATGAATTAAAAGATACGGGCAAGTAGATAATTAAGCTGTAGCTCGGGTTTGGGAAGGAGAGGGGGAGGGTGAAACACCCCACCTCCAGTCAGCATCAGAGAGAAGGTGGGTCCCGGCAGAGGTAATTACATGCGGGCGGCTGTCTTGGTGGCTTTGAGCCATGTCACCGCGAAGCATCCGTCAGGTCTTGGTTTTGCGTGCGAGCACACTTAACGGTCCTTCATATGGTGATTCCAGCGCTGGTACACACGGTCACAAGTTAACAACACATAAGTGCAGTTGTCCAAGCCTTTTTCTATTTAGGACTTTGTCGTTGGAGTTCGAGGTATATCCGGGGAACGCGAGCGCATGAATTGCTGCAGACGGTACACAAAATTGTCAGAGGTCTCGTCGGTGACACGAGAGATTGGACTGACCATCTCGCCTGTCAGTCGGAGGGTAGTGCTGAAAACCAATTCAGCTGCGCTACAGCCCAGATCCAACTTCAGAGCTGCGCGGAGGCCGAGGAGTGCAAGGGCCAGGTTATCTGCCCAGTTTCCTACGTCTTCTGTGGCCCACAGTGCGGTGTTTAGCTGGCGATGAAAACCCTGAATCATACCGCTGGCAGCTGGGTGGTAGGCTGTCGTCCAAATGCGTGTGCAGCCAAGAAAATTGAGGAGCGTTTGGTAGAGTGCGGATTCAAACTGGTCGCACGATCAGTCGTATCCTTGGAGGGACAACAAACCTGGCGGCCCAGCGACTGGCGAAAGCCTTCAGGATGGTTTCAACCTTCCCTTTCAGCAAAAGAATGGCTTCAGCCCAGGTTGCGTAACGATTAACGCGGGTAAGAAGGTGAGTATAATCATTTAATGGAGTCAAGTGGCCTACAGCATCCAGGTGCACATGGCTGAACCGTGAGTCGGGGCTGGGGAAAGTGCCTGGTGGGGACTTGTTGTGACGTTGCACCTTGTTGAGCTGGTAACTCAAACACGAACAGGCCCAAGTTTTGCGTCCTTGTTCATGCCAGGCCAGACAAAACTTTCTGCGAGGAGCTTTTGAGATGTTTGCATCTCAGGGTGGAAGAATCCATGCAGAGTTTTAAAAACAGCTCAACGCATTCGCTTATTCGATAGAAAATTACGTCTTCTTCCAATTTTATGCTCAAAGAATAGTGTATACTTTGATTTCCAAAAAGTCTCTTATTATGTGATTTCTTAATACCGAGAAATGACAGTTCATAAAACATCGTGTCTCTGCATTTACCAATGTTGCTTGTAATTTTAACAATATGGCTCAAATCCACTGCTTCTTTTTTGAACCCCATATAGTCTCCTCTTAATACCGTAGTAAAATGTGTGGTTTTCCGCAACAGAAAATATACGGCTTGTAGTTTTGAAACAGTGAATGCAAGTGTAACGGCAGATCATGTTCAGTATTATTCGGGAATTGGAAGTTTTTAAAAATCAAATTGCACCCTTCGTTCGAGTATTATATTGGAAGAAGACGTGATTTTCAACCGAATAATCAAAAAATTAACATTACCTGCATGCTGTCCATCCAATATAATTTAATTTTTAAGGGCGTCGAAAATCAATGAGAAAAATGCATGCCACTTAAGCAGTCGTTTTTTACAGAGTATAGCTTTGACATGTGGCCGAAAATAAGTTCGGTCGAAAGCCGGCATCCTAAGGTAACTACATTTTTATAGAATTATGCTGCACGATGATTAGTTTTACAACCCTGCTTAATTAATCTTTTCGAAACGAAAACGCATTTCTGAATTTTGGTTGACATTGCATGAGTTAGTCCACCTGCTGTACAAAATGACGGCTTTCAGCTGGGAGTTTCTTTCGAGGCATTCCGAGGTAACCGAAATATTTTAGGATTATGCAGCACGGGGATTAATGCTACAACCTTACTTAGGTAATTCTTTTCGAGTCGTAAACGCATTCCAGAATTTGCGTAATCATTTCATGAGTTAGCCCACCTACTGTAACAAATGACTTGGCTTTCGGCTGGGAGCTTCTTTCGGGTAAAACGCTCTGCCTGTCCACTTACAGCTCCTTTGCTCGCAAGCATCGTTATGCACTGCGCAGACTCCACTACCCCAATGACAGTCGCAGCAGCTTCTGTTATTAGCAGTCCCTAGACACCACTACCTTCAAACCCGGTTCCGCATTCAGAGAGGAGACGACGGACGCCAGTAGAGAGGGCATTGCATTCTGTGCAGAATGATTGCATAATGGATTAGAGGAAGTTGGTTGCCAGGAGAGGGCAAACTTCCAGCTCCACCGAGACAGGCGTCAGAGTAAAATGTCCCACGGATTGAACTGAACACTTTGGATATAACGAACACTTTCTGGCACCAATCTGGGACGAAGATGGTGTAACCACGTGTTGGCGGGAACAGCCGACACCTCTCTCCTCTTGCCTGTCCATTCTTCTTCCACAATATCCGCTGCAACGCATGTCCCTCGCTCTCTACCTCGACATCACCCGCGGTCCTGCCCTGTAACTGTTCACAGCACTGCAGCCCTCACCGGTTGTTCCGTTGGCATGTCAATTACACCTCCCCATCTCCCTGATGTGACCCATCCTTTCCTGTATCATTTACCATTTCCCATTTGTTAAATTCTTCCCTCTCCTTTCCTTTTGTTATGCCTTGTTGCGTGTCTAACGACTCCGTTCGGCTCAACCAAAGCCAACGTCATCGGTCTTTGAGAGCGCATGTCTGCGTCGTCCTTGAAATTGATTGGCCAAGAACCAGACAGCCACTGGTACGCGCGCCACGCACAGTATTGCAACAGACGCCCCGAGTAGGGCCACGGCAGGTGAACGGTGAATAGGAATTTGGTGGTTGCGACAAATCCAAGACTCCGCATGAGATCAATTGTTAGATAATTCTGTGCGAACTGAACACTACAGAGCCGGGAGGCTTTTTCGAATCAGCGGGCATTTTACTTCAACAGCTGGTGCACCTTGCGGGCAGAGGTGACATTCAACTTGAGACACAAACAGGACAAAGCCCTCTTCACACTACGGCGGACATGACGTTGGACAAATAAAAAACCCTTGGTTTTAACTGGAAGTAACGATGAAGCGGTAAATTGTGAACACCAGTCATGTAGCGTTTTGCCTCATAACTGGCTGGGTGCTCCCCAGGGGATTTTATAAACCTGTTTTTGGACAAGCAAAGAACGCGCATAGGGGGATTTGAAAAACTTTCCCCTCCTCGATTGTACGCTAATAGGTCCGTGAGGGGTACTGTCAGCTCGCCGCATCTGTTGTTTAAGCACATTTTTAAGCAGAACTTTCCTGATGTGGTATAAGTCCTTACACCAGTCGTGAGCTCGTCTCTTTCTGTCTTGGTGTGAGAAAGCAGATGTTTTTAATTTTTTTCTCACATTTAGACCCCTGGGACGGGTACGAAAATGCGTGACTTTTCACCCCTGTCATTTTATGAGCTCAAATTGGGGCGCTGCGTGAAACAGCGTTTGACGGGCATGTGCTGGTTCAATAAAAAAAACTGACTTTGGGAGGCTGAGGCCTGCGTATATGGAAGTCGAATATGCTTTGTGTGGCAGGCGAGCTTAAAATCCTCCCGGGGGAAATGACAACGGGGCTATTGTTTCATGCAGATCGTGTGGAGTAGCCAGCTCACGACGGCAAGTTAGGGATTCTTGGCCGATGAGAACTCCAAGACGTGACCGGGGAGGCCACGATTCATGGCATGTGTGTTCTTCGCGAAATGAAAACGGTTCCTTTCTGCAGCAGAATGTTGTTTGCCTTGAAAAATGGGCATTGTGAAATAAAAAGTGGAAGATGCAGTGAACCTACCCCGGACGGCTGCTGCAACGCTGCATCTCTATCACATACTTGCACGAACAAACCACCGATGGTCGTACGTCTGAGACCCTGTTAGGTGCCCCCATCGCTTCCGGCCACGATCTGGAGGCGAGATGGTCTTCGTGGTTTTCGGCAAATCACCGCTAAGCAAACCAGCTGCTATGTCCCAGAAGGAAGGTAGAGAGCTGGTTCGGAGGACAAGCACTTTACTGGCAACTTGCGGACACGAGGGGTAACGACTCGCCAGAAAGGTGCTCTATCTATGTTGGCCCTGTGCGTTCTGGAACATTCCGCCCAATGGCGTGCCAGTCGTTGAGGGCGTTCTAGAACGTTCCTGCCCACGACGTGCTGGTCGCTGATTGGCCACCGCGTGCGTGATAGTCTCCCGCGGAAACGTCCGGGATGTTCGACCTGCCATTGTTTGGACAGCATGCGTGAGCAAAGCCAGTACACGTGCTCGGCGCTGCAGTGCGCGTCGGTCGGCGGTCTAGCATCACGCGTGTCTCACGCCGCCGACTTGGTCCCCTGTTCAGCGCCTTAGGCCGCGGCTCCACGCTGCTTGTATTCCCCATAACGCCATCCAATCAACGTCAAAGCTGACGCAGACACGACTTGGCCGAAGGTCCTCTGGCATCTGCCCTGGTTACACTCGAACGCTGATCCAGCGGCGCCGAACGTGCGCTTCATGTCCAACTGCCAAAATGCTCCATTCATTCTGTACAGAATACGGTACCCTCTCTCCTCCGCCGCCCACATTCACCTCCCACTACTCGAAATCTGGGCTTGATCTGTTCATGAAAACGGGCAGCGAAGTAACAGGACAAGTCTGGACCCCATCGAATCATCTGAAAACCTGACCCCTACCCAAAAAAGACAGTGAACGCTGATTGGCGTTTTCTTGTGGAACTAATCCACTACGTCTTCCTCGGACAAGTTTATCACGTGACAAACAAGGAAGAGGAGGTCACGACGAAACTACCAATAATTTCTTTCAGAGCAAAAATATACGACATGCCAGATAGGCTGATGTTTCGGGAGTCCCTTCTTGATACAGTTTGACCTTCGTTTGAGGAGCCGTTGGAAAACACCTTTGTCAACTTACATGACAAAAATTAGAGCCATAAAAAACATCTTGGAGCCACTTTAAGCCAATCCAAACATTTGAAATGAAAAGTTCGTCCAAAGCATTATCAAAGAGTGGCGTAAAATTATGCAGACGAGGGATGGAGATGAGTGCTGCGGTTCTTGTTTTTTCTATCCTCCAAAAATAACAAGAACGCTAGAATCAATCCGCTTTTGTTTACGTCCTCTCTCTCAAGCGATGGTTAATGCGCTGACCCGCATAATCACTGCCTCTCTGTGGAACAAATGGCATTTATGGAGCGATCGCAGGGAGGAGACAAAGGACCGTTGTCGTTTTGTGACGTTTGGTGTTTCGGCTTTATCACACTCCCAACACAGTTTTGTAGAGTTCGGTCCAGTTTCTTAATTCTGGTACACTTCTTTCTCATTTTCACCATCACCCTGTCCCAACAAGGTGGAAAAAATCTCCAAAATAAAGGCCCTTTGTATTTCGTTAGCGTTTTGTTTTTTTCTTCATGCGACCTGCGTCTGCCGAGTTTCGAGCTCTGACTCACTAATTGACAGGCACGATGCCAGCATGCCAATTTGCCGATTTATAGCTGCGCGCTTCTTTGCAGTGAACTGCCAAATATTGTCATGTCCTCCCTTCGTCTGAAAGCCCTGGAAACAGCCCACCTTAAAGTCACTGACGAGGCTGATCCGTAAGCAGAATTTCCGTTGGCAACGTGAGCATGTCGTAAATCGTAATGTTCTCACGAACTAACGAGTTATATCTCACGAGCCCCTAGCCTTAAATGCAGCAAGTAAATCGGAGCAGTGAATAATATAGAGATTTTTGAACGTTAAGAAAAATTGACAACAGAATACCACAGCAGAGCACGCTAGCAAGGCGGGTTGTACAGGTGTGTCGTTTCTCGTCACATTCAAACAAGCAATGCGGTCAAAGGAAATGGGACTAAATTGTTAAAGGTAAATTAGTCAGGTATCTCACCACAGTACCCCCCTTCTAGATTGGAGAGCGACGGGATACGGCGCCGGAGGATATGCACAAGTCTAGAAAAAATAGGTAACTAAACGATCGGGAAAATGAACGTGACGGCCACTGCGAGTTATGTATGCAGGAGGTACAGTCGAAGAGGGTTGACTGTGTGCTGTGGTGGACGATGGCGTTGCAGTTCGATGCTGTTGACATGTAGGCAGAGGAAGTATGCGGGACGGAGGGGTAGAGGGCAAGGGAGGTGAAAGGCAAGGCAGTGGGCAGGGTGAACGAGTAGGGGATAGTGAAGATGGAGGAACAGGGGTTAGGGGGTCAGCACATGTTTGTCCTTGTGACAGGTCCGGCGGCTCCTCCGCAACAGCAGCCTTGACCCGATCGACACTGACCACGTCCTCCTTGTCACTGCGAAGAATCCGGAAGGTCTTGGTGTTGCGCGCGAGCACGCGGAACGGTCCTTCACATGGTGATTCCAGCAGCTGGCGCACACGGTCACACCGGACGAACACATGAGTACACTTGTCCAAGTCTTTTTCGAAATAAGACTCAGTCATTGGAGTTCGAGGTATATCCGGGGAACGCGAGCGCATGAATTGCTGCAGACGGTACACAAAATTGTCAGAGGTCTCGTCGGTGACACGAGAGATTGGACTGACCATCTCGCCTGTCAGTCGGAGGGTAGTGCTGAAAACCAATTCAGCTGCGCCACAGCCCAGATCCAACTTCAGAGCTGCGCGGAGGCCGAGGAGTGCAAGGGCCAGGTTATCTGCCCAGTTTCCTACGTCTTCTGTGGTCCACAGTGCGGTGTTTAGCTGGCGATGAAAACCCTGAATCATACCGCTGGCAGCTGGGTGGTAGGCTGTCGTTCAAATGCGTGTGCAGCCAAGAAAATTGAGGAGCGTTTGGTAGAGTGCGGACTCAAACTGGGCGCACGATCAGCCGTATCCTTGGAGGGACAACAAACCTGGTGGCCCAGCGACTGGCGAAAGCCTTCAGGATGGTTTCAACTTTCCCTTTCAGCAAAAGAATGGCTTCAGCCCAGGTTGCGTAACGATTAACGCGGGTAAGAAGGTGAGTATAATCATTTAATGGAGGCAAGGGGCCTACGGCATCCAGGTGCACATGGCTGAACCGTGCGTCGGGGCTGGGGAAAGTGCCTGGTGTGGACTTGTTGTGACGTTGCACCTTGTTGCGCTGGTACCTCAAACACGACCAGGCCCAAGTTTTGCGTCCTTGTTCATGCCAGGCCAGACAAACCTTTCTGCGAGGAGCTTTTGAGATGTTTGCATCTCAGGGTGGAAGAATCCATGCAGAGTTTTAAACACAGCTCAACGCATTGAGGCGGGCACAAAAGAGCGATGAAAAGGAGTCGAGACGTCACAAAGTATGGTACTGGAGCCGGTGATCAGAAGAATGTCTTTGAGTTGGAGACCACTAACGGACCCATTGATAGGACAACCGACCCGTTGTTGCTCAGCCACTTTAGCGCCAAGGCGAATTCTATGTGAGAGTTGGAGGCAAGATATTGAGGGCCTGGATAGCCCTCAGCCACCTCATTCTTCGTGCCGTCAGTGTGGCGGATGCCGGTGGTGAACTGTGGGATGTAGTCTAGGTGGGCGATCTCTCTCAGATGGTAATTGTCAGAATGAGAACGAAGAGCAGAAGTCAGCAGCTTGTGTTCCGTAAAAACGAGGAGGTTCCGACTTTCAAGGAAATTCCGGAAATAGGCAAAGTTTTGTTTCGTAGCCGTACCTGTTAGGTGTAAGGGTTAGGGGTTAGGGTTCGAGGTTAGGGATTAGGGTTAGGGGTTAGGGATTAAAGTTATGGGTTGGGGTTAGGGGTAAGAGTCAGGGTTAGGGGCTAAGGTTAGGAGTTTGGGTTCGTGGTTAGGGGTTGGGGGTTTGGTGTTTGGGTTAGGGCTTAGGCTGGGGCTTGTCAACTGCAGGTACCGCTACGACATAAGATTCGGCCCGGAAATGCTTTACAGCCAGGTAGATGGCAAGTAGTTCACGGCCGAAGGTACTGTAGCGGGTCTTGACCAGCAACAGCTTTCGGAGATATAGGCGTGTGGTCGAGTCGAACCAGCAAGTTGTTGTTGAAGGACTGCACCTACGGCTACGGTCGAAGCATCTAGCATTAGGGACAGCTGAGCATCGGCAGCGGGATGCGTGAGCAAGTTGACGTCGGCAAGGGAATTCTTGATTCTCTAAAAAGCAGTCAATGCTTTACCAGCAAGCTCGAGGAGACCCTTGAGACCAGAAAGCATGTTCAATTCAGTACAGTTTTATTAAGAGAAATATGGATGAGCGCCTTTAGACTCCCTATTGGTTACAAATCATTTGAAAAGAGCACGAATAAGTGGAAAGTTAAGAAAGAAATTTTGTACATAATTGCATGTGAAAAGAAGAGGCGATCTCCGGGACCCATAGGTATATTGCCTTAACGTTTCAAAAGCAAACAAGCTTTCATCGTCAGAGGTGAGTGTTGTACCGCGCCTCGCAGTATTTACAGGCATGTGAAAGGCAGGCAGTCGCTGGCCAAACGACAAATAGTGATCATTAACGGTTACTTTTGTATTGTAAGTAGCATAAAGCTACATAATTTGGTGACAGGTTGTGAGTGCGTGCGTGGCTGGTAATTGGGAGGCATGATACGCGTCGAGTCTACATTTAAATGAATTCACAGAGAAGGGGGGCACAACATCGGTAGGCAGGGCACTCCACGCTGCTACCACTCTGTTACTGAAAAATAACTTTCGTTCATGGATCCTTGCTTAACTAGGATCTAAGGAACAGTCTAGGCCGTTTATTATGTGGAATGTAAGTATGAGGTCACCGCGAAGTTGCCTATAGGAAAGGTAAAACAGATTGCGCGTTGACAGTCCGGTTTCGTGTGGCCGTGCTCCTAGACCTTTTGCCATTTTTTTCTCTTGTCTCTGGACTTCCTCTAATACTGCATAGTCCTTGACAGTCCAGGGTTTTCACGCCCGTATGGCGTATTCTACATGAGGCCGCGCGAAGGTGCCAGATATTTTGCAAACGCAGCCAGTTTAAAATTCCACAAAGGCTTCTCATTCATTCAAATTAGTTATTTTTCTTTTGTCCGAATTTGTCATCTGAACCCCGGTCTGGGATGGAAGCACTTGTAGTGGCCCAACTCCGGGCATATGTTGCAACGCTGTGCATCCCGCAAATACCTGTACGCGCGTACCAATTGCAGCCTGGTCGGCCAATGTCAGTTGTCCAAACTGACCAATCATCTTCGAGGCTGACTTAGACGTGACCACGCAGACGACGGTGGCGACTGACCCACTGTCCTCACCCTGACGGACGCCGCCCTCTCGGCGTCGGACGTGACCTCGCCCGACTGCCAACTCCTACCAACCTCTTATCTCTAATAGTTTTGCGCAGAATACAATGTCCTCTTAACTGGCGTTCCACTTCTCTTCCTGTACGGAACTGGTCGTAGTGACTGCGGTCTAATCATGACAGAAGCGGCCGCGATAGTCTGTGCGCACGTCAACATTCATGTTTTTTGCTGATTATGGAGCACATAGATAAGAACATTACAAATTTGTCCGCAGCAACAAAGGTCAGAGTCAACGAAACCTGAAGTGTAGCACTCAGATGCGTCTTACTTGAACATCGGTCAGAGTCGATTTTTGTCTTGCAAGAAAGGATAAGGACTCTTGGCACTTTTCGGAGAATCATCTGTACAGCGCCTTAGACGCCTGAAAAACAGTTCTCGAGGTGTTCAGACATGTTTCTTAACAGATTAGGTGGATTCACTTGGCGTAGTTGAGCGTGGGCCGCTATGCGTGCTACGTGGTTAATAGAAGGTCGGGGACATTACCTACTGATGCTCAGCATAAAGCTGGGTGTCTCCTGGGGAAGATGGAATGCTAACAGAACAAGCAACGCTCGATAATATATTTCTCAGACGCGAGGTCCTCTAGGGGGTCATGTCATTTACCGTCCTCGCGCTTGTGTTGATGTCACCTATTCAACTTTACACTTCCTCGGTTTTGTCCCAGACAAAGGCAGACAAAGGTAGTGGAGGCACAGAGACGGCAGTATTTATAGTACGTAGCTGCCGTGGGGCAACATGCGTACCACAATTAACTGCTCTCTCGATCACCGCTCAGGGGGGAGGGGTCGTAATTGAGACGATGATGGCTCGTCAGTTCGCGTCCGCGTCGTTAATGGTCGTGATTTCGTCATCCGTGATGGATGCTGGTGTGGCAATGGCTCGGCAAATTGGCTCACTGTCACTGGAATAATTGCTCGATCACGCCCTCCCCACGTGACTGATTCCCCTGCTTGGGGAAAATCTCAGCACGGACTATGGTACAGGGAGGTCATTGCGCTTGTCAATGGATTGCGGGCCTGAGAACCATGACTCGAGCAGCTCGCGGCTTACGCGGCTGTCACCCCTTGCGGCGATTTCGGCCTCTTGAAACTTGAAAATATGGCCGGGTCCCGTCGAATGAGCCGCCACCTGAGAGTTAACGTCTCCCCGCCTCACTGCTGCTGCGTGCTCGGCAGTTCGTGTCCGCAGTAATCTCCCAGTTTCTCCGACGTAGTCACTTTGTCCGCGACTGCACCATATCCGGTAAACGACTCCACACGTTTCCTTCCGTGGCAGCGGTTCTTTTGGCCTCATGACTTGGCGCCTAATAGTTACTTCAGGCCTGTGTGGAGTGAGAAGACGACTGACGGCTTCCGAGACGTTCTTCATGTACGGAAGAGCCCGCCAAATTCTGCGGTCGGCTGGATTTGGTCTCTGGTGTCGTTTTCGTACGCGCTGGTTGACAAAGTTGGTTTTGAAGGTGTAATCCGTACACCCAAGTCCTTCTCACCGTCAGCTTATAGCAGCGGTGCGCCGTGAAGAAAGTAAGTCCTGTGGCTGACAGCTCTGTAGCTGCCGATTTGAAGGAAGTCGCACTCACTCATATTGAAGGGTATAAGCCAGCTCTTTGACTAGTCCTCGAACTTGTTCAAGTTTGTTTGCTGGTAGTCTCCGTCTGCCGCATTTTGAATAACTTTCCATAGTTTTATGTCGTCAGCGAAGAGGCTGGCATCACAGTCTAGGTCCTTGACGCAGTCATTTATGAAAAGGATTCTGATCACAAATTACTCGGACGTACTTTACGCAGACGAAGTTGCGTTAGGGAAGACTAAGCAATAGTTATCAAAAAATTCCTTCGTTAATTTACATTGAACTTCCTACCAATGTCTGCATTACCCAGGCCGCCATATCAGACACGATGCGAACCCGCAAAAAATCCTCGGCCCCTCTCCCATACTCTTGAATCCAGGATTAGTCCCTGACATACATTTTGTTTTCCTTCGGACCGTGTGTAGAAAGCAGGCCGAGCTTAAAATAAACGCAGCGTGGATTTTCCGCTGCTGCTAGAACAGGTCGATAGGTGAATATGGTCCTCACGTGACTGCTCCATGTCAAAACCAAAATCGGGTGTCACTTCAAGTGCGTGGTAGGTTGGCCTAAAGACTGCGTGCTCGTTTTCAAGCCCTTCCTGTGCTCAGTACGAAGCGAAAACAATAACTGCAGCTACTGTCAATTGTCGGGCATGCCGGGTGGTCCGGTGGGCTGGGTGCAAGCGAGAGAGCGGATATTTACTCTCATTTCGACATCTGATCAGAGAAAGCATCTTTGACACTCGAAGAAGAACCACCTACCGTTTGAATTATAGTTCGACTACTGTAGTTTCTCTTGTCGTAACAAACGTGCTGATACGGATTTAACGGGTCTATGTCAGGTTGATATGATGGCTGGCATTATTCATGTTATTTTGATTACAAGACGGAAGTGGCTG